GTATAAAAATATTTTTTACACGCAACCATACGCAACTGGTGATCGCTATGGTGTGACAGCACCTTAAGAGCGGTTCTGCTCTTTTCATCTTGTAGAAACAAAATGACCTTGGCGACATCATGTTCTCCCTCAGCTACCTGCCGACAGCGGAAAGGCTGACTATTGTCATCGTGAAGGCGAGAAATCTCAAGTACAGCGATCAGAAACAAAATGGAGGTAAGCTGGCGATGGATTGTGCGTAACGGTAATCAGCGTGTGGTGGTTGGTGGGTGGGACTCGAGACGATACGACGTCGTGCTCAACCAAAGATCCTGCGATGTAATTATTGAATGATTATAATTGGCCTGTTTTTTTATCAACTTACGACTCCCATCGTAATTATTATTTCGGTTTTAGTTTTTGTTGGCGGGTTAGCTTATTTAGAGGGGGGTCTGCAGCGTTATTTACGCGCTCGATTCAGATTTCGGTAGAGTGTAAATGCAGATTCGAAACCGATTACAGTTAGAAAGCGTTTTTAAAGCACAGTACATGTACGTAACTGCCTGAAGGTTTACGAACTTTCTATTGAGTATCGTGGAGGATCACCCGATGCTCATTACAATAGAAGGCACTGGCCTAGCTCCCCGACTTTAACCAATTGTATTACAGTGGACGCTGCTATATGGTCACAGGTAGGGAACCATGAAAATATCCAGATTTAAGCAGAATTCGTGGCGACTACAATTCCATATGGCTGCTTATACCTTACGCAATATTCTACGTGGCTATACTCTCAGCTGTGATGCTAACCTTTCAACTGACCCACTGCATCTATATCCGAACAAATCACCACTTGTAAAGCGCACGCGATTTGTATCATTCGTATTCAGAGACGCTTAATTGTGACTCAGTAAACACCTTGAAATGTTAGGTTTATTTTCTATGCTTTTTACTGAGCTCATTATATTCTGAATCAGCTAAAACCCGAGAATTGTTAGTCTGCTTTTATGCTTAAGATGATTTACAACGTTTATCAGAAAGTTTATATTGCAGAAAATATTCCATTTAACGAAGTCATGACCCATTTATCCGAGTAAAACAATGCGCACAAAGATTGTTTTTATACAACGTTGTATACGAAGTATTTCATAGTCTCATAGCGATGCACCCGTTTATCTGAGACCCGATAAAACGGGGTTCAGTATATATAGTCACTACATACAAAGCAGGGTTGGTCACCCTACGCTGTTACTACGCGCGCATATCTTGTGCGCAAACACGTGTCGAAAAATTCATCTTTTTGTGAAGAACGCTGCGTCCCTGTCCTCCGTGAACCTTTCTTCACTTTTTGAAAGCAGACAGTCACGGACACAGCACATAATTTGTCGACTGACACTTGCTCGTATCGTTTGTCGACGAAACCCTCCAAGTAGAGCTTGGTCTACCGTGAATGCTTCCCACTGCGTCACGTTCTATCTCATGTGCTGCTCCCCGGGCATTGTGCAACGCGCCAATTGTCGCTAATGGAAATGTAAAGGACGTGAGTTCGTATATCGAACGACATCTACAGGGGCGTTAACATTAAATAATATATGTTGCCGAGGAAAAAAACATGCGACAGGAAAATAGACATGTTTAATCATCTAATATTGACTTAAATATATTACAACGTGCAGTCTTAAGTGGTTTATGGCCGAATCCCTCCGACAGATGCCACGGAGAATCTAGATTGGTCGGACAGGGATTTGAGTTACTTCGGAACAAGGAGCAGCATATATATAGGAGATGTCTATATACAGCTCCTTGCATTGGAGTAGCTACGCTATGCTCTTCATAGATGGCATGACTCGAACTCAATACTCTTTCCCGCCACTTTCTATCTCTAGATCAGTGGTTCTTAACCTTTTTGGCCCCACGACTCCATCAGACATTCTTGGTCAGTACCGTGACCCCCGAAACAAAAATGTAAAAAAACAGCCCGATTAATGAAGACATGTCTGCCAATACTCAATCAATGGGATGGCTGAAATTGCTTCGCAGCCATCAGGCGATCAAAAAAAATGTTGGACATTCCCCGACCGGGCAAGTGAGGAAATTTTTTTTGTAACACCCTGATAATTATATAGAATTTAAATGGATTTGTTTCATTTATGACCCCTTGATGACTCCCGGAAAACCCCCAAACGACCCCCATGTTAAGGACCGCTGCTCTAGATTCTCTCCTCCTCATTCGAGAAGTAAGCTGAAGAGAGATGTGGTCAACGTCGACAATGGCAGAATAGATGGTAGACCTTATTCGGACACCGGAATAAACTCAGATGTCACCAAAATAAGCCACGAAAAAAAACAGCGGAAGAATTCGGTAAAATCTATATAAGAGAGTCTGTTTACCCGGGTATCTAGCCTCACTTGCGGACAAGTCAAATGAGCACAAAATGACACGCCGAATAGAATTCGAAGCGGGGAAAGGTCACTAAATAACTAGTGGTGATAACGATGACCCACGTCCAAGTCTGATGGTGATTTATGGTTATATGGGTGTTGACGGTCAGGAAAGGTCCGTTATATATGCGGCGGTATTGGCTTCCTGACCGTCTGTGCAATTATCCATGGACAGCGCACATTATCGGTGTGTGGGGTGCGTGCGTGCGTGCGTGTTTGTGTGTGTTTGTGTGTGTGTGTGCGTGCGTGTTTGTGCGTGCGTGCGTGTTTGTGTGTGCGTG